GTTTGCATTTACATTCGCCTTTCGTCTATCTGAATAAAGGATGGTATGCGATATGTTATCAGCAAAGAACACACAGATTTAAATTGCAGAAACGAGGCATGAAAATGCAAGTTCTTTATTTGTTGGCTTTCTAACTTTTATGCTGTTAAGCAATAAACTTAATCGAATAGATGAAACAAACTTTTTCCCCTTGCATCAGTTAACCCATGTACCGCAAATCATGTAGGGCTATGTTTTATTACCATCTGGTTGTATGAGATTTCTGAGATAACAATTTCATCTTCTTAATCAATTACGCTTTTAGAATGGTTGATAATTGGTCGGTCATAGACCTTCGTTGAGATGATGTCAAAATATGCATGAAAATTAATATTTTTGGGTACAGGGAGTTTCCTTTTGAAGTTTAACAGCTTTGCCTTTGTGATAAATGCATGGACTTTGGACGGGCTTATGTCCTGCATTTGTTCTCCTTGCATGTAGCTGCTTGTATGTGCTTATCAATGCTTTATCACATCTCGAATCATCATGCAGGACTTAAAACTGAAGTCTGACATGGGGTTGGATCATCCCTATAACTAGCATATTCCAACTGAAACAAATTTGTTCGAAATTTTAAATGCTACGTGCTGCTGACGGATGGCAATGCTAATTGGGTTTTGTTGCCAATATAAAGTATCACTTATTGTCATAACTAGTATTATCTTCGTTTCTGACATGATTTGTTTGGTTGTAAGCCGATTGGGTTTTGTTGCCAATATAAAGCATTACTCATTGTCATAACGAGTATTATCTTCGTTTCTGACATGAGTTTTTTGGTTGTAAAGACAATGCATATTCTTTAAGGTATTTGAAATACACATCACTTCCCCCTGCAAACATACTTTTATACTCTGAACTGTAGTCTACTGGGCATTGAAAGATCTTGTTTAGGAATGGTGCCTGAGATGGCTACAAATTTATTTTTACTTGGCTACAAATTTAGGGATGATTCTCTTTCCGAAGTTTCACATATTACTATTTTTAGATTAATAGTAGCAGATGAGACGGTGTACCTTATGATATATTCCTGCTACTTCCAAAATTCCTTGTTCTTCGGCTCTTAACATTTCTACACATTGGGGCCTTCTTCGCTTAGCTGCTACTGCCTAACAACTTTTTGCTTGGAATTTTCATATTGCTAGCCATTGGATCAGAATTTTTCCAGTGAGGAACTTTGTCAAATGTAATATTCAGGTCTTGCTTTCCATCATATGTTAACGGTTTCTTCCAATTGACATTGAATGTTTAATTCATTAATATAAAACTGCCGTGGTCAGGATCAGCCGTGTAAATGCCTGATTAGGTAACTTCGCTTGAGATATCGCTTTCTGTATATTTATACTACATATTAGGTGGACAGCAGCGGAATGTGATTTTTTCTGATGGATTCTGTAGATCACTAGTCCTTTGAAGGATTGCAAGATAAATGGGCTAACCCAAAACAAGGAAAGGCTATGTAGAATAACATATTTCCGCTGTTGTTCATTGATAATTGTGTTTAGGACTTGTTTGTCTAGAAATTTAAGGAGTGCTAGACCCCGTACCTTTTTCTATATTGTTCTGGTTCTTGTTTGAAATGAGTTCTTGTAATAACTTCTATTGCTCTTTGGTAAAAGGATTGGTCTAAGATTGAGTTGTTTCCTCAGCGGTCACATTTAAGTCTTGAGTCTCATCTTGGTATCTTGGTTTTCTCTCTGCATGTCTGCTATGCATCTTCAGACGAACTTCTTGGGTGTGCCCTGTTTTGCTGCAGCGATGACACAATCCCTTGGTTGCTTTTTCTGTTTATTGTCGGTCATGGAGTTGTGAGGCCCTCGTGCAACTGATGTTGAAGAGTCCGAATACTCTCTGTAATGTTGTGCTTCTTGGGCTAACATCTTACTTTCATCTCACCTCTGAATAAACTTTCCTAAAGAAAGGCTGTATCCTCGTGAATCAACGTGTCTTGTTTTAGAACATTGAACTGACGTGAAAGCTACGGTTCTGGGAAACGAATCCAGATGAATATATTGTCAGAGGATTGTAGTTAATCACGTGCTGTTTATCTTTATCATTATTCCCTTCCCATATCATCGTTGTACAAAGATATTTCCGAGCAGGGCGTGATTAGGAAAGTGAGTGTGCTGGTTCTTTTTTTTGTTTGGGGTCCACTGAAAATGTCTTGTGTTGAAACAGCACCGTGTTGTCTCAATCAGAATCTTGAAAAGGGAAAAAACGGCGATTTATGTGTTTGGAACACTGGTCTACGATATTGTGTTGTAGCGACTTGTGACTAGTGACACAGGATTGTCATAGATGAGGCGCTCCCATGCGGTATTGTTGAGTGATGAATTTTGGGCTGTCAATTTGTCTCAGAAAAAGAAGAGAAAGAACACTCACCGACATGTGAATCATGACATTATCGTTTAAAAGATCGCAAAAAAATTCATTTTTTTCCCGGAGAATCTTTAAAACAAATAATTATTGCTTTTTTAAAATTTAAATTAAAAACAAGTTTAAGAAATTATTGTTTAAGCAGAAGAGGAGAATACAGAACTACCCTTCGACAGCACTTCCTTAATCTCTGCGAGACACCCCCCCGGGGGGGAGGAGAATTTAGCCGTTAACCATAATTGTCGTTTTTTGGGATGTCCGGAACCAATAAAAAAAAGTGTTTTTATGAAAGTTGAGATAAAATTTTTTTTATATATTATCTTAAATATTGTAAAATCATATTTTAGAAAGCTAATCTAAACGCTCAATTCCCCTACTCTTCCTTCCATCCGCATATTTCACCAAACTTAAACGCGAGTTTTTACTGAAAGTGAAACTCAGATGGCGTGTTAATACTTCGGAGTCTCAGTTTGGTTTTGACCTCCCTAATAGCTTAGACTTGATTAACTTGTCCTCAGAGTGTGACGTTATCATAACCAACATTTAATTTCGATCAGAAGATGGGAAGATATGGCCGTAGTTCTACGACTTCATACCTCATTTTTCACAGTTTAGACCAACCAGGTAAAAATATCAAACAACCACGTAAGGGAATTGAATATAAAATTGAAACGAAAATAATATGCTACAAAACGTGACATATCATTACTTATCAATCTTGGGTTCATTAAAATGAGAAGTTAAGCGAATCCTCGCTTTGTTGTCACTTTCGACAATGACACAAACAAGCGTGACAACGAAAGAGGTAACGTGTGTCCTCGTGCATGAAACGTAACCTCAGAAATTAAAGTTGCATTAACTATAGAAGGTCGGTTTTTATGCTTTAATTTAAAAATATACTACATAAGCTGTAATTAATGACTCCTTCTAACGGTATATATCAATGTTTTTTATTTAGTACTACCTTTAGTCCTACTTGTTTGGTTTTTACTTTTTAGTTCTAAATATAAGAATCCAATTCACTTTGTCTATCATATTTATCTATCTTTTCCTATATAGTCATTGTAATAATAATAGCTCTAGCCAATACATTTAAATAGCAAAAATATTTTAAGAAAAAGAATACTTATTTATGATAAATAACTAACTTAACTAATTTTTTTAATCTACTAAATTAGTTATTGGTTTTTATATTAAGGATCGGAAGTAGTATGACAGACAAAGTGAACTGAGGTATTATATTTATGACTAAATTGAAAGTTAAATTAACTTTATATTAAGGATAGGAGGTGGTAATTATGTTGTCAAGTTAAAATTACATAATATGGCCGCCAAATATATATCGTAGGAAGATTCCAGGCAAGCCATACATCTCCAGTAGATTATTGCCCACGCAAGACGCTTTGCTTTTACTGGTAGCATGCCGCGTTTGGATCCTCTCGTAATTTTTTTTTCTCCTATTCTTCTTAGTATCTGATTTCTACTGTTGGATTAAATAATGAATGGATCAATTTCATACTTTATAAAACTATTATTTAATATTACATTAATAGGAAAGAGAAGGTGAACATCTGCTTTTTAAAATATTAAATCCGAATTATTTATTATTTGATCCAACGGTAGAGATGAGATTCTCAGAAAAGGAAAAAGACAGGATTCAAACCCGTAGTATGCCAATCACCAATTTACAGCTAGCATGCTATTGATTTTTTATTGACCACAAGTATTTCAAAACTTGTCATGGCAATTTTATAAGAGAAATGTCTATAGTTTACTTGTATTCAACTGTCATTTTTGGAAAGGATAAGCATTTTTCTTTATGTAATTATCACTTCATATTAGCCCTTAAAGAGTTAGAATTGTTTAAGTTTTGAAATTTTATAGTTAATGCTGAAAATATCATTTAAATCACTTTCTAACTGCAAGCAGTTTACGGCCTAGATTGGTATTTATGGTTGCCACATGAGGATAGAAGAGTGATTGAAAAAGATTCTTCATTATCATCATAAATTTGTTTTAATGCAAAAAGAATAAAGGACGTATAATCAAATCCAACAATGAAGCACAAATAATGTATATGAATATAACAACATCAAGCCAACTAAACGAGTTATTACAACCAGCACATACATTTTGTAGTGCACAACTTTGCAATCTGTGACTTTAATGATAAACAAATTTGAACACTAGAGAGGCAAAAGATCTTCATAATCAATGAACAAATAAAGACGGTTCGGAAGCTCTCTTTTTTCTTTTCCACCTCTTTCCTTTTTTTTTCTTTTTCTTTTTTCTTTTTTTAACCGTTAGATTAATATTTTAATTGTTCAGATTTAAATATATTTAAAATTATTATTAAAATAAATAAATAATTTTAAAACTATTATTAAAATATTAAATTATTAAATAAAATAAATAATAAATTATAAACTATATTGAAATTTAATTCAAATGGTTTGCAAGTGCACTAAATATTTTTAAAAACTCTTTATAAATTTTAATCTAATGGTTAAAATCTAAACTGTTGAAATATATAAGAGAAAAGAGGATAGGAAGGAAAGAGAAGAGGTTCCAAAACCAAAATAAAGAATCGATGTATTAACTGTATCCCTCCTGTGCCTTTAGTTCATGATCAAGCTGCGGAAGTGGACGTCAAGCTGCAGAAAGTAAAACAAATAAAATATAAAATCCCTCTCCAAAATGAAGACAGCATAAGCTGAAAGAACATGGAGTCCAAACGTCATAAACCTAATAGAAGAGAACCTTTAATTTTCCACACATAGTGAGTGAGAGAGAGAGACATGGCTTACTCTAAGAGTTCTTTCCAGAAGGAATCGCTTGTATCATCATCTACCAAGAGCTTCTCCCAATCAGTATCAAAGATTGTGGATGAAATTGACTGGGTTGACACTTCATCTGTGATAGGGCTAATCTCCATATGGTTGAAGGAGGCCGAGTCAAACGTTGGAAGTAGGTTTTTTGCTTGCCTTATGTCATGTGATGTTGTTCCGGGGAGGCTATTATTGGTACCCGAAACTTCTTGATCTGATGATGCTCCTTCTATGTCTGTCCATGATTCTGAAATATCCTGGCGTGATTCATTTGGTGCCGAAGGAAATAGAGCAGGGCTTGCATATAATTCTTGATCTCTCAAGTTGTTGGGGAGAGTACTGTTTGGACCATTTGTATCTGCTTCCACTGGGTTACTGATCAAACTGTGATTGCCCAAGAGTGCGAGACTACTCTGCATGTTACTGAGCAACGATGAACTGCCATTCATAAGCTGCAACAGATTCTGCAGAAGTTGGATTTGGACCAACTGATGAGTCACATCTGGTTGCTGTAAACCCAGACCCGCATGGCCCCAATGGCTCGTCAAGTTATTATTAGCCACGCCAAGAAATTGCGAGAGGTTCAAGAGATGCTTCAAGTCAGTTCTTGGCTTGTGAGTTTCTGGATCAATACCCATCTGGAGAAGCTTCTTCCTTAAGTTGGTGTTCCAGAGATTCTTAATCTCGTTGTCAGTCCTCCCTGGAAGATGCGTTGCAATCTTCGACCACCTGCAACAACAAGGAGTTGAAGTCTTAACTAGGCAATCATATATTATTAATGCTGCCAAGTTTAAAAGACACAGATGATATATATGATGCTGAATTACTTGTTTCCAAGAACAGAGTGAAGTTTGATGATCAATTTCTCCTCTTCTTCAGTGAATTTGCCTCTCTTGATATCAGGCCTGAGATAATTGGTCCATCTTAGCCTGCAGCTTTTGCCGCATCTATTAAGGCCCGCTTGCTTTGGAACTGTTTTCCAATTTCCGCTGCCATGTTTGCTGATACAATTGAAAAGCTTCTCATCTTCTTCGGGCATCCAAGGCCCTTTCTTCACACCAGTCTCCTCGCAACACGGTGGCCTACCCATTATGCAAAGCTAGCTGGCACAGTAAATGCAATTCCAACAACAAAAACCTCAAGACCCCTCAGAAGAGATAAACTAAAGCTGAGGTCTAAGAAAAAAGGTTTTACAAGATCTCCACTGAGACAGGTTGCTTTTATAAGTGCGTCTATAAGACATCCAAATTCATGCAATGATGTCATTTCTCCGCCTTTTTTCGGGTTGACGAAACGTGAAGGAAGCAACCCAGGGCACATATATTTTACATATAATATTTGAATGCATGCCGCTTTAAATTCCATAAATTTTATTCTTTGTGGGAAATTCATTGTCGCTTTGACCAATTGGTCAACATTGAAAGATTTTCCATATAACAGGGGCATGAGATTGAAAAGTCAAAAAGCAGCGTTGGAGCCTGTGGACGTTTAGGGTTGGCTATATAGTGGTGAATATTTGCAAATATTGGAAACCTAACAACTTGGAAAACCAAATATTACTTTTTATTGTGTCCGAATCTTCTATATCACCTTATAAATTGATGCTTTGTATGCAAAGGGAAGCTGCTTTATCTGATTTGACCTTGGCATTATTCTGCACAGGCTCCTGCATTATGTTGGTTTCATCATTTGATCGATTAAGTTGCAAATTTTAGAGTAATATGTATTTATAATTTTGGAAAATCTAAAACATAATTAGGAATTTATTTTTTGCTTAACTATGCTTCAACGTATATGTCAACATATCATCAGCCAATTTATATTATAAAATTAAACAGCAAGTTGCACTATTCACAAAGTTTGAACAGTGGCTCGTTATTCAAACTCTATAATGTGTTCAAAAGGATGAATTATGGTAGGCCATTGCTTTTAGTAAACATGGGAGGTTGCTTCTGATAATAATGGTCACCCATTTGGTCATCAGTGAGGCCATATATCAACTTTGTCATTTTCTTCTTGTACACTGCGTTCTCAAATTCATTGGTATCAATGGCTGCTTTCCATTATATAATTCTCAATAATGCAACTATCTGTAACTGCTCCTTAATGTATTTATTGCGTCAATATTTGTTGATTAACTTTTCACCAAATTTCATTCCAATATCTTAATTAGGACGCTAAAAGGTTACCGAATTTTTTTCTTTTCTGAAGCATTCAAAGTCAAGGGACTAATATTATACGAGTGAAGGCTCTATCTTATAACTTTATTGATATTTCTTATGGCCAAGTTTTTATAGACAGGAATAATCGTTTAATCAGATACCATCTATCAAAATGACCGGTTAGGTGTAATGCGAAAAGGTACAATAAAAGGAAAATAATTTAGTGGCATGCTGATCCATTTGTAATAATGGATATTGAGAGCCATAACTTAATCAAGTTCTTAGACGTAACATGGGGAAGCAAAATTAATTAATAGCACAAGGAATCAATATAATAATTACATTTTCTGCGACAGATGTATTGTAATATATTGATCATTGTTGGAGATAAAATGAGTAGAAAGGGTTTTTGCAAGGCATGAAACTACAACTTGAAAAGACTATTTTCAACCATGTGTTTTGTGTAACCAGAGAGATAAATTAAACATGATGATGGGTTTTACCTATTATGTTAGATGAACCCACCATTGTATTTAATTATTTCCCTTCAATTGATTGCGTGGACTGCATGGATAAAATGAGTTTAGATTGCACCGTATGCATTTTGGGTGTGAGAAACTAGTTTCAGTGCTCATCATCATAGTAATAAATACTAAGATACTCATAAATTTTCAACTATTATTGGGTTTGGACTTGCATGTATATGAATTATTCATATGTGTTACTTTTCATCGACTTCTCTTCTTTACCAACAGGATTAGATCTAGTGAAGAGGGCTAGTTTCTTACAATGTAGCGAACTAAGGTTTGAATACTAACAGGGAGAAGAGCTCTCACATTTAGTAACTGACAGTGTCTCGAACATGATTACCTCCAATAAAAAAATACCTATGTTTAGCCCAAAAAAAAGTTCTCGTCTTCCCACCCCCGGCATAAAACGAGTTTCAAGATCTTCATAATTAATTGTACCTGGCTAAGTTATTTCTCCTTTTACTTTCTAGTTGAACCGAAAGGACGAAAGGTCAAAAATAGAAAGCAAACACGTGTGAAAACTTCGGCCAAAAAAAAACACGTGTGAAAACTAGATAATAATTTTTTATGTGGTCAAACCAAATATAAAAATACCTATAAAGATTATAGAATCCTCCTCCGGTCCTTAATATATGATCTAATTATTAAATTGATTTTGGTCCTAAATATAAGACCTATTTTTCATATTTATCAATTTTTTCTAAATTACCCCTATGAATACTCCATCAACCATAATCAAGTAGAAGAGGGAGGGAGATATTAAAAAAAATGATTATGGTGCTTTAGAAAAAACTTGTCATATTTTTTATAATTAACTAACTTACTTAACTTCCTTAATATAATCAAATTAGTTAAATAAGTATTATATTAAGTACTGGAAAGGAAAACTAAAATTTGAAATCCTCTTAGCATATTCCAAATTCAACATGCGTGCTTTTACTATACCGAGTGTTTTGACATTCATTATATAATATTTTACAGAATGTCAGTTTGACTTTGAAACCTCTCAATTCAGCTCGAGATTTGATTACGTTCTGGTCACAGTGGATTTTATATCATCAATTCATGACCAAGGTTTATTTGTCAACCAGAAAATATATACGAAAATGGTGAGATATAGATTAATGGAGCTGATTTTTCAACTTCAATTATCTCATTTGCGCTCATTTTCTTGCTTAAGTAGACAACCAACCAGAAAAATAATGAACCAAGCTAAAAGAAGAAGCATGGGAATATTGAGCGGAAGAAATATTTCTATTCTGTGTATTAGATGGCTAGTGCTTTAGATAAAAAGTTATAACGGAAAGTCAATAATGCAACTCTTTCTATTAAACCATAACGATTGGCCCAAGTGTAATGTTCAACCTGATTCTGAACTTTCATTAGCCCTCTCACTGGCAGACTCGACGTAGAAGAGCCAAGATATATCGATTGTATTTGTTTCTCCACTTTTACTCATTTACATTCAATTGTTATAGTACTACACGAACACTTAGTAATGAATGAATGAATAATGAATGTTTTATTGTATCCTTTGTGGGAATATTCCTTGAGCATCTGGGCCTTAAAATCCTCTACCATGAAACCAGCGATGAGGAAGTGGTGGCTGTCAAACTGCAAAACAAGAGAAAATAAACATTTAATCCCTCAACAAATGAAATCATAAGCTTAAGAATATGGAGGGTATGAGCATGCTTAGACCTAATAGAAGAGAACCTTTTTGTTTTCCACACACAGGGAGAGGTTTTTTTTGGGCGAGGGGGAGCTTACTCTAGAAGTTCTTTCCAGTAGGAATCGCTTGTATCATCTTCCAGGAGTAGATTTTCCCAAGCATCAAAGACAGTGGATGGAGCTGGCTGCAGGTCGGCCATTTCATCAGTATTGGATCTCTCCATTTGGTTGGCTGAATCAGTGGCAAGAAATGGATTTTCATCTTGATTCAATTCATGTGACGAAGAAGTTCTTCTAACTCTACTGTTGATATCAAAAGCTTGTTGATGTGATGCTCCTTCCAGGTACGTCCATGATTCTGAAATATCCTTGTTTGCGTCGCTTAGTGCTGGAGGAAATAGATCAGGGATTGCACGTAATTCTTGTTCTCTCAAAAAAGACTCTTTGTTGTTCGGGAGAGTGCTGTTTGGACCATTTATATCTTCTTCCACTGGGTTATTGATCAAACTTTGCTTACTCAGTAAGATCGGGAGAATGCTCTGCATGTTACTGAAGGAATTGCCGTTCATAAGCTGCAACAGATTCTGCAGAAGTTGGATTTGGGCTAACTGATGAGTCACGTCTGGTTGCTGGAAACCTAGACCCCCATGGCTCCAAGGGCTCATCAAGTTAATATTAGCCGTTCCTAACAACTGCGAGAGGTTCAAGAGATGCTTCAAGTCAGTTCTTGGCTTGTGAGTTTCTGGATCAATACCCATCTGGAGAAGCTTCTTCCTCAGATTGGTGTTCCAGAAGTTCTTAATCTCGTTGTCAGTCCTCCCTGGAAGATGCGTTGCAATCTTCGACCACCTACAGCCACAATCAATCCAAGTTTCAGCATTAACCACACGTATATAATCAATCAGCGAGCAATGATGTAACTAATTAACCATGCACTTACTTGTTTCCAAGAACAGAATGAAGTTTGATGATCAATTGCTTCTCTTCTTCAGTAAATTTGCCTCTCTTGATATCAGGCCTAAGATAATTGGTCCACCGTAGCCTGCAGCTTTTGCCGCATCTGTTGAGTCCCGCATGCTTTGGGACCGTTCTCCAATTTCCACTGCCATGTATACTGATATAATCAAAAAGTTTCTCATCTTCTTCAGGCGTCCATGGTCCTCTCTTCACACCACTCTCATCACAACAACACGGTGGCCTACCCATTACGCAAAGGCAGCTATAGCACAATAAATGCAATTCCAACACAGAAATTAAAGGATGTCCTCTCAGAAGAGATAAAGAGCTGAGATCCAAGAAAAAGCTTACCAGATGTCTGGTGAGACACGTTGGTTTTATAAGTGCTCAAGACATCTAAATTAAAGTAATAAGGTCTTTGACTCTTCTTTCCCCTCCCTTTCCTCCTGTTTGACGAAACTTGAAGGAAGCAGCCTAGGGCATCTATACATATAATATTTGAACGCATATCTCTGTAATTCCAAAAATTTTGCAATATATGAGAAATTTAGTGTTGCTTTGACCCATAATTGGTCAACATCGAAAGAACTTCGATATGATAGATATATGAGATTGATAAGTCAACCTTGGAAGCAGCACTGAAGCCCATGGAAGTTTCATGTTGGCTATAATATATGTATGGTTTGAGTATAGGAAAACTTCAAACAACATAGAATTACCGTGTCAAAGAAACTTCCGTCACCTTATAAATTGGTCATTTGCATGGTAAA